TTTTAAGCGAGCCCGATTTGGTCCATCCCAGACGCGACTGTCCCAATCGGACGCTGTTGCAGGGCTTAGCCACGCCCTGGGTGGTTCCTTTTTTGTGCATAAATTAACATTCTGTTCAATTATCACGTGGGGAAATGTCTTCGCAGGTTTTGTTAACTTCTATAAAGTGTTGTACAACACATACTGTTCAAAATAACAGCTTTTCACTCATTTCAATGTTCGGCAATTATCACAAGTTTTCATTCAACACTAAACTTCACATATCTTACACACATATTAAATGCTTTATCTGCTAAAAGGAAAAGTTATAAGGCAAAGATTAAAATATCATAGGTTCCAATAACACATCAAACAGAAAGCATATTATTTGGGAGTATATTGCTCCGATACTTTAAATGATTTTAAATGATAGTCTTTTAAACTTTGTCCATGCAACGTCTGCGTTTCTTTGTTAAGAAGAGGGCGCGTTTCCTCTGGGAGGCATAGAGAGAGAGAGCGGAATTTCCTGAGGTACATAAAAGTCACGCGGTGGTTTGCTGAGTTTGATTGAATCACGTTATCACTGTTCTTTAGATCCGTTGTTTTTTGCAGGCCTGAGGGTATCAGCGAAAAATCCTTCCAGTGCCTACACTGGTTCTATTCATTGGCGATCACAAGACATCACGAGGTATCTATAGGTTGTGAAAGAACTTTTTTAGTCCTTGATATAAAAGAAAGCTTTGTTGTCTCCTGATTGGATTAGTTTAGACCTCGTGATGAGTTGATTCAATGGCGTATCCATGTCTGTTCACGATAGAAATCCTACAGTGCTTATTTGGATGTGGTAGTTCACTATTAGCTAATCAGTAACTACTATTTTTTCATACCTCCCTAAGAACTACTAAGAACTACTGTATACAGGTTCATAATTAATATGAGTAATGCATAATGTATAATTAATTCTAAAGTGAAGGTAATGGTAACCCACTAGTAATGACTCAAATATTACCAAATTCTTCAGAAGGAATTACTAATTATTTGGATCAGTATTCTAAAGTGAGTAACATGATTAATTCTCTAGTAATGACTGAAATCATTGTAAGATTTTTAGGGTTTTCAAAGTATTGGATAGTAAATATTCATATGCTACTACATCCTTCTAAAGGAATTACACATTTTTGGGATCAGTATTCTAAAGTGAAGATCGTGATAACTCCCTAGTAATTACTGAAATCATTGTAAACTTTTGAGGGTTTTAAATCATTACTAGTGGGTTACCATGATCTTCACTTTAGAATACTGATCCAAGTAATTAGTAGTTCCTTTAGAAGGATTTGGTAATACAAATCATTACTAGTGGGTTACCATGATCTTTACTTTAGAATTAATTATACATTATGCATAATTCACATTAATTATGAACCTGTAAACAGTAGTTCCTAGGAGTTATCCAGGATATATGAACAAAAATAGTAGTTATTGATTAGCTAATAATTAACTACCAGTTTCAACTGAGCACTATTACTTACTAAATCGTTAATCAGAGTTTCTTGTTAGTTAATAGTAGTTACTAGCATGTTAATACTGCATTAGTCATGTGTTCCTGTGTAGTTATGTTGATGAGATTTTAATGAGAACTTGTGGCCAAATGCAAGAGAGAGGGTGTTATAGTCCTGTCTTGTTTTCCCCATTTTTTGTTTAAAGTCGGCATGAAACGGAAGTTGCGATTGTCTTTTCTTCTCTACTGTGACGTATATCTGAGTGAAACGGCATCTGAAATGAGAGGGCGGGACTTGATTTCGTGGGGGATTTCTCTCCACTGGATTCACAGCTGACACCCGAGCATGAATAAATGTTTTATTTGTTAAGGATGACGATGACGATCAACGGCACAAAACATGCATAAACAGAGAGAGAGAGAGAGAGAGAGAGAGAGAGAGAGAGAGAGAGAGAGAGAGAGTGCCTGAATGGAGAGAGAGAGAGAGAGAGAGAGAGAGAGAGAGAGAGAGAGAGAGAGAGAGAGAGAGAGAGAGAGAGAGAGAGAGAGAGAGAGAGAGAGAGAGAGACTGCCTGAATGACTGAATGCATCCTCCATCAGGTTAAGTCATATTCATGGAAAAAATTAGTTTGCGATGTCCTTAGAGTAATGTTGTCATAATATCCTAATATCTTTTCAATGTTTAGGGGTAACGTACTCCCTCATGACTGGTTTATCCCAGCGTTTACCCCTCAGGTCACTAGCTCCGCCCTCGTGCCATAGCTCGTGACCGGAAGAGAAGATGAGTCATTTTGAGGGGGAGGGGAGGTTAACGTATTTGATTAAAGATTACGAGGGCACATGAATTTTTAAAAAAATAATGAAGTGCACGGATAAATTATTTATAATAAACACTACAGTATTCCATTAAAAAATAAGAATTTTCCATTTTGATTTCATGGTGACTTTTGTTTAAGGACTCTCAAGTTGTTTCTGTTCCCATTGTTTCTGTGTTGGTTTCCTGTGTTTAGTTCCTGTTTTCCCCCGTTCCCTGTGCTGGTTTGCTCCCTCATTTGTTTCTATGGAAATTCAGGTAACACTTTAGAATAATGATCCGTTATTAACAAATAACTATGTACTGTAGTAAGTAATAGGTAGTACTACATTAACACTGAACTTAATACTGTTAAATAATATGGAAGGAATATTAACAAAGCAGTAAGTAATAGCAAATTTAGGACAAAAGTAGTTCCTTATTAGGTATTCAGTACTAAATAAAATATCCACATTAAGAACTACTTGCTAACTATGACAAATTAATAAAGAATAACTAATTAATTACTAATCACAAAAGTAACATGTCTAAAAGTTATCTATTGTCTTGTTTTATGCTTAACATGGTCATAAAATGTATTTTCCAGAAGCTTGCACCTCAAATGGGTTATTTGAGGAAACAAATTTATTCAT